TAAACGCCACGCCGGTTTTACGTGCCGTTCCGTTCACGCTACAGTTAGCCATCATGCGGGCCCTTTCGGGCTGTATGGACCGACGAGGCCTGAACGGAAAGTCTAACTCCGGTGCCTAGGGACCGACGTGGCGTTTAACGTGTTAACACTGACCCTGTTACGGTCAAATAACCGGTGAATGGAAAAGAAGTAGAAGCTCTAAAAAATGGAATAATGAAAAAATGACTATACGTATAATGAAAGAAACATCTCGAAAATGAGTGGTAGAGATAATAACGTTGAACACAGAATTTTTAATGAAAGTTTAGTAAACGGTGATTTAGACCATGGTATATTTAGCGTTCAACTTCCCAGGATTTTAAATCCGTTTTCATTTCTTTCCTGTTTCTAATTTCGATTCGAATGAAAATTTAAAATAATTGCGTTCGAATCGTCGTGGAAAAAAGATAAGACCTTATCTACAGAAATATTTCTACGTTTTTTAATTGCCTCCGAATTAACCAGTATCTCGAACGCCATCTTTCGGCGGTTGGACACTTTCTGTTTAATTTTCTTTCGTAACGATTCAGTCTGTTTGTCGATTGCGAATGAGAAAATATTGATTTTCTAAATAAACGGAATGTCATAAGATACGCGAAAGTACGCGATATTAATCTCTACAGTGTTTACGGAGATATTGCAGGAAAGAGAAAATGGTGACGAATGGTGTCAGTAAACGAAAGAAGTTAACCCCTTGAACTCCGAGCAATCTTTAATACGACCTACCAGCAACTCCGAGTCATTTTACCTTTCCTGTTAGCTTTTGTAGTACAATGTTTACCAATCAAGTAGGACCATTACCATTTGTTAAGGGGTTATAATGCAGAAAAATAGTAGCTAGTGGAAACGGTGTTTATTAACACGTTCGCTGCCGTGGGGGTCACCGGTGACCGGTACTCGACTTGGCTACAGCGCCGTGGGGGGCACCGGTGACCGGTGACGCGACCAATAGTTAAAATACATAATTATATTAATACTTATAAATTTCTAAATAATACCATTGTTTCTGTAATGCTTTGAAGAAATTAATGCCACGAAAAATGCATAAAACAAGTTTATACAACTAAACTTATCTGCTGTAAATAATATTTCAACATAATATGCATCGAATAATGAGAAACTCATGTTGGCGCCTTGGGCAAGTCACGTAAAATTCGCGCGGCAGCCAACGTGTTAAACGGGCAAACGGTCAAAACTGACCTGTCTGTTTAGGGTCAAGCAGGTGAAAAGACGTTTCCAGAAGATGGGAGACATAAGACAAAACATAGGGGACGAGGTTGCCCCCATATTACTAGTAGAATTTTTTAGAATTTATTTTAGCATTTAGTTTGTACTACGACACATTTTCATCACTTCTTCTGCCAAAGGTATACTGGTATAATATCTATCAGCAAACACTCGGTAACTCTGCGTTTCGGGAATTTTATATAACAATATTCGACATAAATCCAGCGAAATTCTAGCGCTACAGCAGTGGCAATGGAGTTACAGGCTATCTCACGATATCGACAACAGAGCACAAAGGGCTAAAAAAGAAATATAGCTATATAGCTATTCCCGTACTTGTATATCAATCTGCAATTCGGTAAAATCAGAGAGAAGGCAGAATGGTTGATTTAGCGTGAAAGTTCGGCGAACTTTTAAGTTATGCAACCCGTGCAGAACTGCTGCAACTTGTGACTTAAAATTCAACGTGGAACCCCGTGGAATTACCATTTAATCACCGGCCGATCCAAAATTACGCGAGCCCTGAAATTATTCGCTATATAAAATTACGATAATAAAATTTCCAAGGCAGTCTGAGCCTCTGGAATCCCGTCTCGAATTGAAAATCGTTTAATTACATCCAAGCCCCCATTCATCCCTCTACTTTGGTATCTTTAAGCCTATAATAACAGCACGATAACAATGATAAGTGAAGCTGTGCATCAGACGTTTTCAAGATCGGTTAATTAACTGATAAGCGACTCTTAATTATACTCGACGATAATCGTTAAGCGTCTTGGCTTACCCTAAAAGGTCTAAAGACCTCGCTGATGTTGTCGGGGGAATTGAGGCACAGGGGGCCACCAGGCGGGGCCAAGAGGCCAGAAACAATCGCCAAACGGGGAATAGTAAACATCAGGGCAGGCTCGTAATTATCCACGTCTGCCTGGCTGAGCAATCCGCGTTCGAGAGCTCTTTGCAGCGTCTCCGAAAATAAAACGCACACGAGCTCCTGCTGCTCGTACTCCTTCGTCGATTTCACCGGCACCATCACGCCCACGTAGCATAGCTCGAAATCCGCGAACACCCGGTCGAAGATCTTCAGCGACTCGATCAACTTCTCCAGGGATGGGTCCAGCGGATTTTGGGTCTGAAAAAGGTACTGATGAAGAAAGATTGGACGATTAGTATTTTTCGGGTTGCAAAAATTCTTTTATTTACTATTTTCTCTTTTCTTTTTCTACGAAGGATTCCTACGAAGGATTTCCTTTCTACGAAGGATGAAACGTCGATTTTTCTTATAGTTAGGGTAGTTTTTAACCCTTTGCACTCTCCGTGCGATTTTTTCCTTACAGAAAAATAGTAATTCCAAGACTTTCTGTCTTCTATCTTCTATAAATAAAAAATCGTATACAAATTGAAACGTAGAATAATTTTATTTCGATATTCCATGCATTATTTAATTTTGATATATTAATGAACATCGATCTTTAAAATCTGATTGACTGACAATTGGGGGGGTCGCCTCTCGAGTGCAAAGGGTTAATTGGAAATTTCTTTGACAGGTAAAAAATTAATTTTAGTTAACTAAGTGGGTTTATTAAATTTTTAAATTTTGATAGATCAATAAGGAAGAATATAAATTAGGTGACTTGGCAAACAATGTTCCTTTTCTTCTCTAATGGATGAAATTTAGAAATTCTGATATTTGAGAATTTCTAGTGGAGGTTATTGACAGGATACAGGACTTTTCGAAAATTTTCAGAACTCCGTGTCACGTGGATCTATCGTATATACTTTAGGTAATATCTAATAGACGAGGCATATATTTCTGTCTCATTTTCTCCGAGGACACGAAGTATGTTGAATTTACAAATGCATGAGTCTCCTGTATAAATCAGAGCGACGCTATCTTTCTTCAATATTCATTGCAAGATGGATAACGAAAAAGCAGATTAGTGCGAATTTAAATGTCGCGAAGCTCGATCCACGAAGAGATTCCTATCCACGGCGCACGTGTAAATGAAAGAACGAAATAATTTTCAAGAAAAAGAATTTTCGAGAACTACTGCTATTTCAAGCTCTCGTAAAATCGAGTACTCGACGTACGAGAATTATTCTTCGAGATCGAATGCATCTTGCTGTACTGAGAAAATAAGATACTAAATATAAATATTTATCCAATGCTCCAATAAAAAGAAAAATATGAATCGAATAATTCGTTACTAGCGATAAATTGAAAAAAAAGGTACAATTTTAATTTCGTCAGAGTCGATCGATAAATTCGAAAGGAAAGTTTCAGTATGAATAAGTAACGATTAATATACTCGTAAAAATATGCCGAAGAGCTATACTCGAGCATGCACGAAATTTGCCACCATTTAAAATGCAAATACGCGAGGAGACTATGAAACTGGCAGCCTGGATTACTCTTTTGTCTTGCTGGAATCATTCCATGTTCTTAACTTCCGCGGAAGCATGCATAAATTCAAGTGACCCAGTATATTTTTTTCCACCGACTCACTGTTTTCCTATAACGCTTAAAAGCCTCTGCCCGCTGCCAAAAACAATATTATGGCAGATTCGGGCTGATTTAAACGCGATATCGATCGCGTCTATCGATACCGATTTATCGTTCGCGCGTAACCGTGGATAATCCGTGAATTAATAAATAATCCACGGGTTAAAAACAAATAGAAAATTACACGGGTTTTAACGTGTCAATTACGACGAATCACACGTGTTGAAAAAAAAAAAAAAAAA